CACACCTACTGGGGCTCCCGGAACCCCAGGGAGCTGTGGCCTCAAGAGGATTCAGAAGGAAAGGGACCAATGAGGAGGACGGCTGGGTGGGAAGGAGAAGAGGTTTTTCTGGCTCTGGGCACACAGCCGCCCCGTCCCGTCCCCTGCAGGTGTAAAGTCCCAGCACATGAGCATGGGGAGGCAGTGAGGGTGGCACTCTGTACCTGATCCCCACACATCCTTTGTCCCCCGCCTCAGGGATGACATGACCAGTCAGCCACGAAGCTCCCCAGGGTGGCCCAGTGCTTCCCAAACTGGGCTGTCCACAGGCATCACCCGGGTCATTTAAAATCTCCTGACATTCAGATCAGAGTCTCTCTTGAGCATTGCTCAAAATTCTCAGGCGACGCCAACATGCAGACGGGACCACGGTGGACCTAGCCTGCGCAATCCACAACGGCCAAACTAGGGAAAGAGCCCAAGTGTCCATCGGCTGGCGAATGCATAAAGATGTGGCAGACGCAGACGTAGATACAGATATAGACGTAGACACAGATGTAGCCATAGATATAGAGAGATACACAATGGACTCGGAGATGAGAGCAGGCTGCGCGTCTCTGCGACGCAGTGACTGTGCCTTCGGTTCGCGGTGCCAGGACGCCCTTCGGGGCCTGGTTCTGGGGGACTGCCAGGGAACACAGAAAGCACCCAGGGGGCAGGAAAGCGCTTCTGCTCCGAGCCTTGCCTACAGAGCTCTTCACTGACACCCAGAGGAAAACTCATCCCTCCGCCGGGTGCTGTGATCAATACGCCCCCTACGTACAGCTCAGACCTCCCTTCCCGTGACGACCGCATAAACAAGCAAATGAGAACGGAAATTCTGACATAAACAAATGAAGTATGAATGTTGCCGGTAACAGAGCACGAATGTATTTTTCAAGGCAGCGCGACTTCTCAACAGAGAGTCCCCTCCACTCAAGAAAGGTCTCTGGGATGGACACCGTCTGGGATGGACACGAGACACGAGTGACCCACACCTGCATCAGGTCAGCATTGCTCCGTGACCCCGGATGGTGACCCAGGGGCTCGACCAAACGCCAGGACTCAGGATCACGGCTCACATCTGGAACCCAACTCAAGACTTATGAGTGTAACTTCAGCTCTAATGAGTTAAAGTACATTTGGTAGTGACACAATTCGGTCATTTGGGAAGGGACATTTTGTTGGTGTCTTGGAGCACAGGCTCCCCATCAACTACCTTTCTGACTCCTCCTCTCACCCCAGATCTGTCCGGCCGGCGCACCCCAACGTGCTGGGGGCCTCTGACAACCCTCACAACAGCACTGTGACTGCCACTGGACATGAAATCTCTGTTCCCTGATAGCCCCGCCCCCCACACTGTTACTGGTGTCACACGTCACCCCTTTTTACACCCGGTCCCCGTTAACACATTTGTAATATTTTACGCTTTCACTTTTCTATCTTATAGAAAAGTAAAAGCTAAGTTATATAACCCAAATTTACAGTAATAGCAGTTTTTGTGTTTGTTTTATATTTTCCCTTCACCAGAAAATTTTGTATTTTTATAGGTCTTCACGTTACTGTCTGGTATTCTTTTTTTTAATGTTTATATATTATTTTTGAGACAGACAGACAGAGCATGATGGGGGAGGGGCAGAGAGAGAGAGGGAGACACAGAATCAGAAGCAGGCTCCACGCTCTGAGCTGTCAGCACAGAGCCTGACGGGGGGCTCGAACTCATGAACCATGAGATGATGACCTGAGCTGAAGTTGGGCACTTAACCGACTCAGCCACCCAGGAGCCCCAGATGTTCTTTTATTTTAACCTGAAGATCTCCCTTTATCATTTCTTATAGAGCAAGTCAAGTGGCAAGGAACCCCCTTGGTTTTGCTTATCTCGACTGTTTTAATTTCTCTCTCATTTTTGGAGAACAATTTTGCCAGATATGGAATCCATGGTTGATGACTTTTGGTTAGTACCTAAAATTCATCATCCCACTGCCTTTTGGCCTATAAGATTTCTGCGAGCACAGCTGAACCCTGAACCACACGAGCTGACGTATACAGATTTTTTTAATAACAATACCATAAATGCATTTTCTCTTGGTTATGATGTTAATAACTTTCTTTTCTCCAGCTCACTGTATTGTAAGAGTACAGCATATGTTACACGGAAAATATAACATATGTGCGTGCACACACAGACACACACACATATATACACACAGATGAGCACACACACATATACAGAGACACACTTACATTCACACGAGGACACACTGGCACATTCAAATACACACAGAGACACATACACACAGGGACACATGCATGCAGACATACACACAGGCACACACAGTTTCCCTCCTTGCACTTCCTCACCAAGCTCCCACAGAGCAGGGACAGCTGTGCAGCCTCCTCAACCCCCCAGAACAGCCTGTCAGCTGTGTTTCCTCCACTTGGATCCCCATGCCTTCCTCCCCTGGACCAGCCCCCTGGAGGCGACCAACCTCAGCCCCGCATTCTCACACTTCCTAACGATCCTGCAGCACCTGAGTGTCTCTCCTGCCCTTTCGCTTGAAACTCCGCCCCTCCCGGTCTCTGTGCCACTTCCCAGCTGGGACTGTCTCCTGCCTCTTCCTCTGAGACGCAGGCCTGCTCGCTGCCCGGCTTGGCCGCCATCTTTCTTGAGTGTGACGACGCATGATTTTGCTCAGGACCATTCTACAGGACTTGTGCCTGTCATTTTCTGAGTCCTCCTACACATCACCCAACATGTGACTCGAGGCCGGCCTCCCTGCACCTGTACACACCACTCCAGCCCTTCCCTGGAAACATACTCCTCCCAACTTCTTTCATATGATATCACCCGTACTGCCAAGGAAGTCATTCCTTCGTAAGCTCAGATTTAGCTTTACACTCTTTCTCTACATTTCTTTGCATGTCAGGTTCGTTGAAGTCTCCCCTGCCCCCATAACTAACACCTGAACCCTTTCTCCCCATCTGTCTGAACCCTAGAATTTCATTTCTTGTCCTCCATTGGTCTTACACAGATGACTTCCCAACTGTTAGCAACAAACTTCCAGTAGGTCACTTGATTGTAACCCACTCTCTGCGCTCCCACACATGGCTTCCAGATTGTTCCTTTATTTTGAGGAGGGAGGGGCAGAGAGGGAGAGAGAAAATCCCAAGCAGACTCTGTGCTGTCAGCACAGAGCCCAGTGTGGGGCTCGATCTCACGAACCCTGAGATCATGACCTGAGCCAAAACCAAGGGTCAGAGCTTAACCGACTGAGCCAGCTAGGCGCCCCCAGATTGTTCTTTCTAATGCACTGCTTTGATCATGGCATTCTTGTCAAATACACATAAAGGCTGTCTGTTAAGTAAAGTGCTTAGTCCTCGCTCTGTCACACAAGGTCACACAAGGTCAACCTCAACTGTCTCTCATGATGAGGTCAAACTGGCCTCCCCCACGGAACTTGGAAGATTGCTGTGATTCTCTTGCATCGCCGATACCTACGGTAGCTCTTGGCCATACTTTCGCCCAAGGTTCAACGTCCACTGTTGGCGAAGGTCCCCGGGAAGTGCTTCTATCCATGCCCTTGAAGGTAATCTCTCGGGTTGCTGGAGCAGGATGGCCAAGTCTCTGTTGTCAGCAGGACCCACAGCCACATCATGGCCGGCCCCGTGGCGTCACCTGCCCAGAGCCACAGCCACCGGGCGATTTCGCTGAACCTTGGTTTTCTGATCAGTGAAGCAGGCTAATACTGCCCACCCGACAACATGGATAGGAAATGAAACGACACCACGGGCGCTCAATTTCTGCTGGGGACCCTTGCACACTTCACACACCAAAGAAACACTGCTCTGCTATCTGCCATTCAAGGGGCTCGCACCTTTTTTTCTGCTTTTCTTAGGCATGTGCTCTTTTACTTTTATATTACCTGCTATCGTTCCAACATAACTGCCATGTCACAAAATAACCAAATCCTGTTTTATTAAAAAAAATTGGTGGGGAAGGGAAAATCAGTATGGAAGTAAAAGATGAGGTTGGGGTCAAGTGCAAACACACGGGGGTAATCACTTCACACGGACTTCCATGGGAGGTGATTCTTCAACAGGTGTATCTTGTGAATAAATTATGATGGGTTTGGAGGACACCTGGGTGGCTCAGTTGGTTACGCTTCTGACTTTAGCCCAAGTCATGATCTCACAGTTCATGAGTTCAAGCCCCAAACCGGACTCTGTGCTGACAGCTCAGAGCCTGTGACAGCTCAGAGCCTGGAGACTGCTTCAGCTTCTGTGTCTGCCTCTCTCTCTCTCAAAAATAAATAGACATTAAAATTTTTTTAAAACAACAAATAAATAAATAAATAATGATGGGTTAGCCTTGTTGGTTTTTAGAGAATTCGTTTCTTTCCTTTTTTTAAGAAACTGAAAGAAGTTAATAAATTACAATTCATCCCACCCAAGGGAAGCAAATAACAGCCCCTTAAATTGATAAATTCACCCAGGATTCCAGTGAACGTGTGTCTGCTTTTTGAAATAAGTCATTTTCAAATAAATACTAAATAATGTCAGCAGGTCAAAATGTGAACGCACAGGTACTAAGGCCATGATCAGCTCGGATCACTGATGAGTTAAGACCAGATTACGATGCTCACCTTTCCAACAATAAGGGTGATCTGCACTTCCTACAAAAGGAAATTACTCTTGCTTCCATAAGATACTGAAGTCACTAAGGAAGAACCCTCAGCCGTCCTTCTGACCCTCACGGTACAGAGGAGGTCACACCTGCAAGATGCTAAAGGGAGTTAACGACACTGGTCAGGGGCAGATGGGACCCACCACTTGGCTTGGATTTATACACAAAGAGGCTGCCAAGTTGCAGCCCTCTCATCATGCTTCACATTGGTGGGCTTGATCTTTTCTGCTTCTTTCACCTTTCAAAACATTGTCTTCCAACAGCAGACGATGACATAATGCATGGAAGAGAACGTTACCGTATTTTCTCCAGTCCACAGCCGGGGGTAAGTGCCTCCACAACAGAATGTTGTTCAGATGATTTAAGTAGGACGGAAGGGAATGGAAACCCTTCTGATTGTACCACACCTAAAACAAAGAGAAACATAATGGCTCTTGTGAAATCAGCCCCTGAGTCTTCGTCAGCTATTCCTGGACACAAGGCACGCGTGTCAATTAGCTTCAAAGCACCTGAACGCGGGACTTGAGGCGATGTGCCCACAGGGCTGGCAGGGAGCAGTACATTTCAGTCTGCTAGTTTTATAGTTATCTAGAGCATATAATTTCCAGCTAAAAATAGATGAATCTCCCCCAGAACAAATGTGGATGCTGCTGTATAATTATATTCTCACAGCAAAAAAGGAACCTGAACCCATCATTTTTTTTCTTCTTTCTCACTGGGTAAGCGAATAAAATCTGACCTGCAAATTAAAAGCAGAGAAAATGACTAGAAAAAAAAAATGATTACTTTCAAATTAATAACTGAATGTGGGACGTTCTTTCTCAAAACAAATTGCACCGAGCAGTTAGCTGCTGGGCATGGAGAATAAAATAGCGCGCCTGTCAGACAGGAGAGGAAAGACGGGGGTGAGAGCATGAGACAGACAACGTTATTGAAGCTGGGATAGGGGGTGGCAGGAAAAATACTCATTGATCCATCAGTATCTATAGTCCAAGGTATCAGTATTTTATTAAATAGGTTTTTTTAAAAGTATACTCAGTTCAGAAAGCTGTTAAGTGTCTGCGAAAAATCTAATGAATCAACTGGCAGCTTCCGGTCTTCATTCCACTGACGGCACAGCTCATTTCTCTAGACGGTGCTGTCTTATGTCACAGACAATGCTGCCTATGTAGAACTGCTTCCCAGAAAGTCGGCCCTGGGAGGGCCCCGTCCAAGTACAGTCTGCAGAGTTACAGGACCACACCCCAGACGCTTCTAACACACTCTTTGACTTGGGTGATGGAGATCGGGAGGCAAAAAGTCAAGAGATAGCCTGGAATGGAGACCAAGTCAGAGGGGTGGCAGCCAGAAACTCCTCGAAGAATCCAGAAGGGTGGTGGTGCTAAGTGAGGCTCTCCAGGGATAGATGGTCATCTGGGAACCTCAGGGGTGTCACCCCCTGGTACCTTAACATTCCCCGAACACCCCTGGCTAATTGTAGAGAGAGCAGTGTGTCTGAGCCAGAGCGAAGCGGACAAACGGCAAGCCCATGGCGCCTCCCAGAGGAGCGGGACCATACGGCAAATGGCAAGGGCTCTGCCCCCAACTCTCTACAGGCAGGAAGCAGCCCGACAAGCTGCCCAAAAGGTGCATTTCCAAATGTCCTCTGCACAGGTGCCCATCACAGGTGACGGAGAAGCGACAGAGAGCAGTCAGTGGCCACAGAGAGCGTGGAAGTGGGGAGCACGCGCAGGGAGCAGGACCAGGGGCCGGGGAGGGAGCACCCCCTCAGGGAGGGAAGCCTGGGCGGCGTGCTGAGCACAGCCCACAGCAGCCCGGCCCCGCAGACTCGGGAGCTACATGAGCGTCCGTTCCCTGCTAGGGGCACTGATGGCTTGCTTGTCTGCCATACAGAATTCTCTTGGCAAGGAGTGACGGCTCACAGTTTGCCATATTCTTGAACTTCATCTCGGCTCTGCACATTGGCCCTTACTTGGGAGAACTTGACGACTAGGATCATCTGAAAATTAACATTTCAGTCTTGGCAGGGTCCAAAGGTCTCTCTCTCTCTCTCTCTCTCTTTTTTCCTTCCTTCCTTCCTTCCTTCCTTCCTTCCTTCCTTCCTTCCTTCCTTCCTTCCTTCCTTCCTTCCTTCTTTCCTTCCTTCCTTCCTTCTTTTCTTCCTTCCTTCCTTCTTTCCTTCCTTCCCTCCTTCCTTCCTCCCTCTATTCTGAAGAATGACTTTCTACAATGTGAGACTATGTTCTGGAAATAAGCTGTTGGATTTCCTGTGCCACCTGCCCATACGTCAGGATGCAGAAGAATCCAGTAACTGGCAGAGGAAGTTAATCTGCTTTCAAGAACACATTAGGACAGCTCAAAACAGACCTTCATGTCAGGAATCACGAGCAACAGCTTCTGAGAAAAGTAACTACATTAAGTTGTAAGAAGAAGAAAAAAAAAACCACCAGTGGATAGATATTCAAATGCCCACAATTTCACTGCGCATCTTGGAAGGTATGCCAATTCCCAGGCAGGGAAACATGCCTTCTGATCTGAAGCGCCTACATTCTAGAAGGTGTTTTTGATCAAACAAGCTGAACACTCCAGATGTGAGCGAAGTAGCTTGTGAGGCTCCCAGGACAGACATTCTGCAGTATGAGACGCTTGTTTACCGCTGGCCTATTTCCATGCAAATTTCTCCATTCTCTCTAGAAAAAAGACTGAGAACCAACCCGGTGGTGTCTTAGGAACACACCCTGAAGCCAAAGGAAAGCCTGGTGGGTAAGGACTGAAAAAGCGAAAGTAATAACCTGACCTGACGTCAGCTGCCCACTGCCAGGTGAGAACCACAGACAGCAGGTGCCCTTCCTGGCCCGCTGCCGTCCCCTAAGTCCCAGGCCTCCTGAGGAGGCGCTCACGGCCCAGAGGGCCAGATCCAACACCCCTGCACGCCCGTGCCTGGCAGAGGACATGACACACAACATTAGAAACAGCAGAAGTCACTGCCCAAAACATGTCAGCCCAGAAGGCTACCCCAAGGGGAGCAGGGGTCGGGGACATGCATGAGTCGCACAGCCTTGTCACCAAAGCAGAGATCTGGGGACATCCTGGCCGCCGGGCCCTAGGTGTCTGCAGGCAAAGACAAGGCATCCGTTAGGAAGAATGTTCTAGGCTGGTATAGATTAAAAAGGAAAAAAATTCTTAGAGGAAATGAACAGATTCTGTCTACCAATTTGGCTTATTTGAACACTGGCCGTGTCGTATGTTTGAGAAGCCAGCGAGAGTCTTTTTGGTGATGTTTCTACCTAGCTCTGAATCTTGGCAATCTTATCTTTTCCTATCGAGCCATAAATCTAGTCCTCTGTGCTGCCTGTGAAGGAAGAGAGGCCTGAAGAACCCTCAGCTCAAGGCAGGATGTCTGACCAAGTCTACACAATGACTAAACTCTGCGTCAGCAACCACCTAGTGAAATATGATGCACACCTGTCTTCGGGGATCCTACTGCGAAGCATGAATGTTAAAATGTTCCTCACAGATATCCTAGTGAAACAGCGGCACAGATCCCTGACGACACTGAGCGAAGTCCCAGCATGCACCTGCCTCCGCCTTTCCAGGTTCCCTTGAACCACAGAAGTCTCACCACCACACAGGAGGGCGCCCTCCTGAGCTCACAAAGGCCAACCTTACTGATCATATGATGGGTTTGCACACGGGCCCAATACCGTCGCAATCAGCTCTTTCCAGATTTCTCTCTCAGTCGAGACCCACACCGAACTAGTTCACTGGTCACTGGGAACAAAAGCTTTGAATCTCCGGTCTTTCCCCATCGAAGACGGGGTTGATTTCCTTCCCTGGAGAAGCTTCTGCAGGGATGGATGGCCTCGGAGCTCCCACAGGTGGGTAAAGGCATCCTTCCTCTACCCCAGCTTCAAACAGGCATCTCAAAAACGCCCATTCTCATACAACTGAGGAGCCTGCCGACATGTTCTCAGCAATGCCGAGGGAAATATTTCTAGTTCACTGGGATGGTCCCACCTTGAAAACCCAGACCCTACACACAGTCCTGAGTAGACAGACGCCCCTTCCCTGTGCTGGCTCTGGGCTCATCCGGCCTTCTGCAAGGAGGGGAACTTAATTAAGTGCACAGATGGAAGAGTTCTTGGCCACCAGAGAAATTAGGGATGTCTTCAGTTATTCTGACAATGGGCATTTATAAAAATAGACTACCAGGGAGCCTGTGTGGCTCAGTCAATTAATCGTCAGACTCTTGATTTCATCTCAGGTCATGATCTCACGGTCGTGAGATCGAGCCCCATGTTGGACCCCACAATGCAGAGCCTGCTTGGGATTCTCTGTCTCCCTCTCTCTCCCCTCCCACCCCTGCTTATGTGCTTACTCTCTCTCAAAGTAAATAAACCTTAAAAATAAACAAACAAACAAATAAAGTTTCATTTCCTTTAATCCTATTAGCTGAATTCTTACTCATAAGTTTAAAGCATTCTTATTAGCTGAATTCTGATCTTCACAAAGAGCAGTAAGCTACTTGGTCCATTGCTCTAGGGTCTAAAGATAAGTGACTCACTTTCCCTTTTGTACAACTATTTTTATTGAAGTAACAAACGCTGGGGCTGGATCTGGTTCCTCTCACGCCCACGGATGTATGTGCATGCCGAGTTTCCCTAGCCACTTTCTCACATAAGAAGAAAGAAGAGGAAAGTCATTACCTTTGCCAGAGTGTTTGGGCTTGATGTGTTTGCATCTGCATCTTGAACTTGATCAGGGATCTGCACTCCGAAAGACCAGCCTCCCATCCTGGTAACAGTAGCAGCTGTTAGTGCTTTCATCAGCGAGCCAGGACGTCCCACCAGAGGGCATTCTGTCACGTTAACTAGGTATGATGGTTTGAGGACAGCCGCCCCCTGAGCGTCCAGCTTTGGTGACATGACCGCGCAGGTGCTCGGAGCACAGAAGGGCCAGGCGTCCAGGGAGGACCCCGCGTATTCAGCAGGCCCAGCTAAGGCTTGCCATGTTAGAAAGTGTCCTTCCCAGAACCCACGTTTTGTTAGGAAGCACATGCCCTGCCCCGGACATGGCTGTGATCACCAGCACGGTGCTGGTTTTAATTACTGGTCATTCCTCTCACACACCGGCTATTCCAATTCACGCGATCTGTCCCGCTCTTCCCAGCCACCCCGTTTTGCATCATTTTGTCTTCCACACTGTGGCCTCTGCCGTCTTCAACATGAACATCGCCTCGCTCAGGAAGGCGACCCTGGAGAACTTCAGTAGGGGAAGATTTCCTCCTCTTTGGGGGTCTCACAATACCCGACATTTCCAACCATCCCATTAACTGTCACCCTGGGTCTGTTTAGTTTATCGTTTATGCAGCTCTGTGAGCTCTCCGGGTGGGGACTACCCCTTGTGTCTCTGTGTCGCGTGGGCCTGTGTCGCACCTGGAACCCACTCAGCTTCCAAAAATACTGGCTGCGAGTCTGTACTGGCTCACGTGAATCAAGGCACAAATTATTTGGGTTATTTTGGCATGAACTACACTAGTCAGAGTTGTTTGAAGTGTGGAGTTGGAGGGGCGCCTGGGGGCTCGGGCGGTTAGTTGTCTGACTCTCAGTTTCGGCTCGGGTTGCGATCTCAGGGTTTTGTGAGTTTGAGCCCTGCATCGGCCTCTGTGCCTCCAGCACAGATTCTCTCTGTCCCTCTCTCTGTCCCTCTCCCATGCTCACTGTCTTTCTCAAGTAAAATAAAAGAAAACTTAAAGAAATAATAATAAAATAAAAGGTGGAGCTGGGGGCCCATTTGCAAGTGGTCAGTGCACGCCCCTGTGTACGTGTGAGTATCAGGGCTGGGGGCCACCTGGTCAGGGTCATGCAGGGATGGGTGACCTCCATGTCTCACTTCTAAATCCACCTTTGATCTGCTGCCCAAATCTAGATAAATACCTTTACTTAAAGACACTTGCTTTTTTAAAAATTTTTTAAATTATTTTTTTAATGTTTACTTGTTTTGAGAGAGAGAGAGACAGACAGACAGAGTGTGAGCAGGGGAGGGGCAGAGAGAGAGGGAGACACAGAATCTGAAGCAGCTCTAGGCTCTGAGCTGTCAGCACAGAGCCCGACCCCGGGCTCGAACCCACAAGCTGTGAGATCATGATCTGAGCCAAAGTCAATGCTCAAACAGCTGGGACATCCAGGCACCCCTAAAGATACTTGCTTTCACCAAGAGATAATCTTTACCTATAGACAGGTATTTTGAAAACTTATTTTACACAGCAATTTTGTATCCACTGAAAGTAATCTTATCAATAAAGCACTACTGTTTGGTTATTAAGAGAAAGGAAGAAAGGAAGGCAGGAAGGAAGGAAGGAAGGAAAGAAGGAAAGAAGGAGGGAGGGAGGGAGGGAGGGAAGATGAAAGAAGAAAGAAAGAAAGAAAGAAAGAAAGAAAGAAAGAAAGAAAGAAAGAAAGAAAGAAAGAAGAGGAAGGAGGGAGGGAGAAAGGAAGAAGGAAAGGAAGGAAGGGAGAGGGAAAGATAGGCACATATTTAACTTTGGTTCCCACATTCTGGATAAAAGAGGCCTGAAGAACAGACTTCTACCACAGTGCCCTTACCCTGAGAGAAACTGAGGCAAAAGAATAAGGCTACATTCCCATCTGGCTTAATGCATTCACTGATTCATTCATTCATTCACTCACTCAAAAATGAATCCACTTGAGAGGCACCTGGGTGGCTCAGGTCATCATCTCACGGTCTGTGGGTTCGAGCCCCGCATCGGGCTCTGTGCCGCCAGATCAGAGCCTGGAGCTGCTTTGGATTCTGTGTCTCCTTCTCTCTCTGCCCCTCCCCTGCTCATGGTCTCTCTCTCTCTCTCAAAAAAGAATTAACATTAAAAAAATTTAATGAATTCACCGGAGAGACAATGAATGCCTTTTATGCAGCAGATACTACTCTAAGTCTCAGACATACAAACTCCCACCTTTGAAAAACAGATTCCGGCACAGGTGTGAAGCCGTACGAGAGGGGCATCGGAAAAGAGGCAGGCAAGGCACAGCGGGGGCGGGCCGTGTCCAGAAGGAGGAAGTTCCTGGGACAGTGAAGGTAAAGGGTAGGGGGGCCGGGGGGGGGGGGGGGGGGTAGTCTGCAGGCACTGAGGACGGACCAACGGGTGCTTCAGTACAGAAGCCGCAGGGTTTGCTCGAGGTCCTGAGAAATCTGATGGCACAGCAACTGCGGTTGCAAAATATAAAGCAACGAGAAGCACTCGCCCCCAACACCCTCATCTAGATTCACCCCCTTGGGCTCGAGGAAACTCAGCACAAAACAAAAGCTTTCCCAGGAACTACCTAAGACACCAGCTGCAGCCACATTTGCATATCGGATGCCACGGGAGACGGAAGTCTCAAGGTCGGACAATATTAAATTATGCGAACGTAGCTCTGCTTATTCTCCAAAGCAGTAAAACCTCCTCTGGCTCTCCGAGTGAATCTCCACTGATATGAACCCCCTCTCCTAGCCCTCCCATGTTCAAGAGGGAAAGTGAGCAGTAAGGAACCTTATTCAGGCCTACAGCGTTTCTTTGGCATTAAAAAAAATTTTTAAGATTGTATTTATTTCTGAGAGAGAAAGAGAGCATGAGCAGGGGAGGGGCAGAGAGAGAGGGAGACACAGAACCTGAAACAGGCTCCAGGCTCTGAGCTGTCAGCACAGAGCCCAACGCAGGTCTCGAACCCACGAACTGTGAGATCATGACCTGAGCTGAAGTCGACGCTTAACCGACTGAGCCCCCCAGGTGCCCCTCTTCGGCATTTTTATGAGCATCAAGGTCAGCATTGGACTCCTGAGTGTTTAAGAGCATTGGCATTTGACACCGTAGGATTTCCAAAGAAACAGAAAGGCCCACACGCACCTCGGATGCGCAGCCGGCACCAGCAAATATTCCTCCAGGTGGAAGGCGGACAGGTTCAGCAGAGTGTGGCCCAGGTGGTTGGTCAGGTAGGGAGCTCCGGCACTTCTGTTTGCACACATCTGTGAGGGTTTCCAGAGAGCAAAAACAGAAACTGAGTTAGAAGCCATGCACAGGTGTACTGATGTTACTTTTTTTTTTTTTTTAAATATTTTTTATTTATTTCTAGGAGAGAGAGAGACAGCGTGAGCAGGGGAGGGTCAGAGAGAGAGGGAGACACAGACTCNGGGGGACAAAAACAGCCTGCTTCCTGGGGACATCACCCATGACAGTGGCCTTATAGAGAAGTTCCTGCACATCTTTTGAAACATATAAATTGTACATCTCAGTTAAAGTTACAGGAAGTCATATTCCATATTTATCACCATTGAAAACTGCCTGCCAAGTGCATTCAGCAGGTGCCTCTTTCAGGGCTTTAGCAGGTCTGGCCGCCCCTAATGTCTTTTTTTTTTTTTTTTTTAACTTTTTTTAATGTTTATTTTTTTATTTTTTGGAGAGAGAGGGTGAGCAGGGGAGGGTCAGAGAGAGAGGGAGACACAGACTCTGAAACGGGCTCCAGGCTCTGAGCTGGCAGTCAGCACAGAGCCCGATGCGGGGCTCGAACCCACGAACCACGAGATCATGACCTGAGTGAAAGTCGGATGCTTAACCGACTAAGCCACCCAGGCGTCCCTGTTACTTTTTTTTTTAATTTTTAATATTTTATTTATATTTTTGAGAGAGAGAGAGAGAAAGAGAGAGAGACAAAGCATGAGCAGGGGAGGGTCAGAGAGAGAGGGAGACACAGAATCAGAAGCAGGCTCCAGGCTCTGAGCTGTCAGCACAGAGTCCAATGCAGGGCTCAAACTCGTGAACCACGAGATCATCACCTGAGCCGAACTAGGACACTTAACCAACCGAGCCACCCAGGCGCCCCTGATGTTACTTTAAATGTGACATATCCTAGCTCTCTCTTTTTAATAAATGATCCGGGGCCCTTCACACGTCCCGATTTCTCAATCTCTTTATGAGTCACCTGCCTTTGAGAATTATGCCCGAATCCCAGCATGACCTTTGTCGTCAATTACGCTCTGGAACTTTCCATCCTTTTCTGTACGAGGGTGTGGGTGGATTTGTAAGAACCCAAAAGTGAAAAACTACTCTCATTGAGGAGATCTGGCGTCGGATGGACTTAAAAGAGAGTCAGCGAGAGAATTTCAAAGGCACCTGTTTCTCGCACAAGCACCTAAAGCAGAAACCAGATGGCTCTTCAGCCCTCACTGGGGGCGCCCGCTCAGAATCACGACAGAGTCACAGCACAGAGGGGCCCTGCCCTGCCCCGGGGGGGTGTGGGAGAGATGACACACTGATGGGGGTCTAACACCACCAGCAGCCCTCCCATCGGCCCCTACGGCGTGCTTTCCCATCTGCACCGTGCAAAGGACACCAGCCACCCCCTCCAGCGGCTGCGTGCTGGTTCTGACGTCCAGAAAAGAGCCGCGTAAGAGTCGGAGATAAATTCAACACAGCGCTTTGAGGCTCTTGGTAGAAAGGATGGGGGGAAAGACACTCAGTGGGATGAGTATGATTTATCAATTAGAAGTCGGCCAACATTGGTGGGCTCGGTGCCAGGTGAACTGACACCCTTTATGGGTTCGCTGCCTCCAGCCTCCCTTCCAATCCGCCCACTGCATCTGGACGCATGCCTCCAGAACGTGGTTTGCATTTAGAGGACTGCCTTGCAGGAGAATTCAAATTCCTCTCAAGAAGCCAGCTCCGCTAGAAGATGCCCTCGGTTTCTCTTTCTAATCCTCTCCGTTGGGGTCTGTCGGAATGTGGCCCCTGCAAGTGGACAAGAACAACGGCCAGCGGGGGTCTGAATCTCGGGAACCGGTAAGGCCGCCTTCTGTGGCCCACACTCTGCAGGTGTTAGTAAAGTAAGGATGCTGAAAAGGGGACATTCTTCTGATCGGCAGGGTGAGCCTCACACAGTCAACTCCTTCCAGCAGCCGGAGGATGGGAGTGCGCCCTCCATGCCGTCCGTGGGAAGCCACCAGGCTCATTCCTCGTGGCCAGTGTTTGGTCATGTTGTGCTGCCCTCCAAGGACAGTGGAGCCCTGAACCAAACTCGTCCTTCGGAGCTAGCTCGGCTATGGCCCCCTCAGAGGTCTCTGACAGCATGCCTTTGAAATAGCGTGTCCTCCTGAGAATCACAGCCGACCCCACGGCACTGCCGTAGGGCTTGGAAAGACTCCCGTGTTTGATAAAAATCCAACGCAAGGGACATAATCCCGCACGGCACGCTTCTGGGCGACATGTATGAGTTTCAGGGGAGAGAAGCACTTCAGGTTCTGAGAAAACACCGGTCACTGGGCTCAGCGTGATGGCCGGAGAGCAGGGAACTGGCGTGGGCCCCGGCTGGCCCCCCCCACACCTGGTGCAGCTCCTTGGAGCCAGCCTGCAGGGCGGCGCCGGCGTGAATTCCACCTCAACATCCTGTCTCCTGGACAGGAGTCCTCCGCCTCCCAACGTGTGGGCCAGCGCTTCTCAAAGTGAGTCCCCAAGGAACCCAGGTGCCACGGACAAGAAGCAATCATCAGTCATCTGTGGAAAACGCTGCATGTGTTGCAGCCTACAGTCAGCGCAAGGGCGAGGTCACATCACCAGAAGAGCGTCACAGAGAGGTTGCAGCAAAGAGGCCCATTAGGTACAGCTTGAACCCCCCTTCCAGGCTTGTCCGGCTCCCCGCCATGTCACGTGAACCTTTTCCCCTGCATGCACGTTACTGAAATCGTACATGAATTTCAGGGCGTCTGCTTCTACCATTCTGGTATTTATTCACACATTCCTTGGCCACTGATATCCAATCCAGTTACAACAGATGGAAGGCAGCTCGTGAAAAAAGGCATCGCTGGAACAGGATGATTAAACCAGGGCCACACACCAAGTGAGGAATGAAGTTACTGGTTTCAGGACTAAACAGAGTAACAAAGACAGGACCGAATCCATCAATGTGTCCAGAAACTCTCGAGCCAAAGAGAGGTGGGTTGTCCCTGCAGAGCAGCAGGGAACACAGGTGGGGGCGCTGTCAGCCTGGGCCCCAGGGACACGTGAGCAGTCTCGCCTAACGCTTAGGTCGGTCACGGGCAAAGCTTCCCAGACTGTCTCAGAGAAGAAAAACAGGCCACATCTTGGGGCGCCTGGGGGGCTCAGTGTCCAACTTCGGCTCAGGTCATGATCTCACAGTTCTTGAGTTCAAGCCCTGCGTCGGGCTCTGTGCTGACAGCTCAGAGCCTGGAGCCTGTTTCCGATTCTATATCTCCCTCTCTGCCTCTCCCCGCGCTTGTGCTGTCTCTCTGTCTCTCTCTCTCTCTGTCTCTCTCTCTCTCAAAAATAAACATTAAAAAAATTTTTTTCTTAAAGAAAATGGGCCATGTCCATCCAAGACAAAACCTTCAGTCCCCTGTGCCACTAAATGGAAAACCCTGGAAATATGTTCTTCACAAGGCCATTTTCTTCCCTAATAGACCCTCAATCAACTCAAAGATTGTTGCTTTTCCTTTTTTTTTTTTTTTTTTTTTCTGTAAATGAGGACAGCACGTTAGCTTGTCGAGGTTCTGCTAATAGGCCCATCCTTTTTTATTAATTAACTTTTGGGATTTCCTCTGAGGGGAGTTCCAATCAGTTTTCCAAATAAATTTCATTCTGTTCTCCTGCACAGGCTGAATCACTAAGGCCCATATCCAACTGTGGGATATACCTACCTCTGCATGTTTCTGTAGGACTCGGCCACAGCCCAAGAGCTAGGTGGTATCTTAGCTTTTATGGGTTTTTTTAAGTTTTTATTTATTTTGAGAGAGAGAGCGTGCATGAGCAAGGGAGGGGCAGAGAGAGGAGAGACAGACTCCCAAGCAGGCCCTGCACCATCAGCACAGAGCTGGATGCAGGGCTCAGTCCCATGAACCGTGAGATCATGACCTGAGCTGAAACCAGGAATTGGCTGCTTAACAGACTGAGCCACCCAGGCACCTCAGTATCTTAGATTTTAATAGGTGGCATCAGCCAGAGGCTCAAGGTCATCCCACCTTAAAACTGAGGGAAATTTCCCCCAAAAGGCAATTCTAGCATATCATGAATTGAATAACATTAACTTCCTGAAGAAATGCCACTGGGGACGTTAATGACCATGAAGAGCAAGCAACGAACACCAGGGCCACCACAGAAGCCACAGGACATCCGCGTCATGGTCTAAGCGTCCCCCTCCACGTAATGATTTCCCAACCGTGCCATGGTTTCCAAAACCCAGTGAATCGGGTGAGCCAAAAAGCCGTGGACTCACTGAGTTAACAAAAATGAAGATGTTACAGATGGAGTGAGCTCAGTTCCGTCCCACGGGGTTGAGACTCGGAAAAGATCCCACACGCGGCAGAAACCTACCTGGCAGGCGCAGGGACCCTGGGCTCGCGGGTGTGACGGGGGATCCACTCGCCAGCACGAGGAGTTCTTCCTAACAAACAAGGGAGAGACTCAGTGATCTTGCCCATTACAGAGCTAGTTTATTTCCCTAGTTTATTGCATCAGCCTCCAGCCGATCCCAAGATAAAGTCTCCTACTCTTCCGTTTGCTTTCACTTGAGCTGCTAATCATAGAACAATGTTTTATTATAATGACAGTATTTCCATTCTATTAGGTGACACTCACTTGGCTGGCTGTATGGGATCTACTACCAAAGCCTCCCTAGATGATCATGGGGGCCACAGGCTTGTCTGAACTGCAGGCACCTGGTCTCAAAAGAACCAGGATGGGGCGCCTGGGTGGCTCAGCCGGTTGAGTGTCCGACTTCGGCTCAGGTCATGATCTCACGGTTCGTGGGTTCGAGCCCCGCGTCGGGCTCCGTGCTGGCAGCTCAGAGCCTGGAGCCTGCTTCAGATTCTATGTCTCCCTCTCTCTCTGACCCTGCCCTGCTCATGCTGTCTCTCTCTCTGTCTCTCAAAAATAAATAAAACATTAAAAAAAAAAAAAAAAAGAACCAGGTACTTTGGGGCACTGGGTGGCTCAGTTGGTGAAGCGTCCAACTTTGGCTCCGGTCATGGTCTCACTGTGCATGAGTTTGAGCCCCGCATTGGGCTCTGTGTGACAGCTCAGAGCCCGGAGGCCGCTTCAGAGTCTGTGTCTCCCTCTCTCTCTGCCCCTCCCCTGCTCACACTCTGTCTTTCTCTCTTTCTCTCTCTCTTAAAAATAAATAAACATTTAAAAAATTAAAAAAAAAAAAAAAACACACCAAGGTAGTTTGAGCACCAAGATAGCAATTAATAAGCACAAGGTGCTGCTAATTCCTCTTGGTGACATGACACTGCCCTTGAAAGACAGCCAATGATAACACTTCCATTATGAGGAAAGGCTGCACAACAGAAACCGACCAAAACCGCTTGCACAGTGTTCCAAACCTTTTCCCAGCCCCCCTACAGCTTTTCCTCTGGTAGGACTCATCCTGGGAATTTTCTTTTCTTTTCTTTTTTTAACTGATGCTTGTACATCAAAAGTTGCTTTAGGGGCGCCTGGGTGGCTTAGTCGGTTAAGCGTCCGACTTTCGCTTGGGTCGTGATCTCGCGGTTCGTGGGTTCGAACCCCGCGTCGGGCTCTGTGCTGACTGCCAGCTTGGAGCCTGGAGCCTGTTTCAGTCTGTGACTCCCTCTCTCTCTGACCCTCCCCTGCTCACGCTGTCTCTCTCTCTCTCCTAGAAATAAATAAGACATTAAAATAATTAAAAAAAAAAAAAAGTTGCTTTAGTAGTAAGTACAGTGAAACCTTAGACTGTGAGTAACGTGTTCTGCAAGGGGTCCGCAAAATGAGTCAACATTCCTAATAAATTTTAACCTGATAAAACAAGCGTTGTCTTGCAATACGAATCATACGTGACGCCAAACTTCACACGATCACAACTGAGCTAATGGGTTTTGAAATTTGCTTTGATACAAGAGTGCTTTCGATGACAAGCATGTTTCTGGAACAAACTGTGCTCTCAATCCAAGATTTTACCCTACTCCTGTCTACTCAGGACTTGGGTAAGGAGGAAATGAACATTTCCTGAATGACAGGCACCCTGTCAGACATGTTTGCCAAGACTTCTTGCTGGCCCCACTTTTCAGAAGAGTCAGTGGAGGCTCTGAGAGATCGGGTAACTTGTCCAAGATCATGCTGAATAAGACGTGTGTCTGACGCCCTGAGCCCATGCTCCCAGTCTGGGCTGTTCTGCTCCAATGGGAGAACACTGAGGTGCAAATGGTCCAGCCCCTGACAAGAAACTCCCGTGCTCACTGCTGGCTGACCCATGTCCCTTGGTCTGCGGCAGAGCGAACTCAGTTTCCTTGAGATCGGCAGACCACTGGCCCTGAGCATGAAGGACCAGAAGACTAGGTCCAACCACGTTCAAGAACAGCCATGGCAGATACCAGTAGGTCTGTTCTGGAGCACGTCGGAAATGGCCAACTGCCCAGTCACCTGCTTGTCGTGCAAGCGGACCCGCCTCCCTTTTTCCACACCTTCCCCTCTGAAACCCTCCAGCTTGGCCTGGACGGGGAAGGTGGACTTCAGGATGTGAGCACACCATCTCCCCAAATGGCCGGCTCCCAGAATAGAGCCAACTTTCTTTTCCCACCAACACTGCTTCTCCAGCAGCGAGCAACAGATCCTGAATTCAGAGCTGGTACTCGGTCCGGTAACAGGGCCACCCCGTCATCTGAGCTGAGCGCTCCTCTTTCTAGAGAACCAAGAGCTGCTGATGCAAAAACAGCAGACATGACTTGCCCATGACAAACAGCTAATCGGGGGTAGAGCTGAGATGTGAGCTTAGGCAGCTGGCCCCTAAATCTGGGCTCTCAGCCCCTTTACCTCCATTGCTAATCAGCACACTCTCTCTGATCTTAATGCGTGACCTCCACATCTGTCCTGACAGTCCCCTCCGAGAGAACGTGTCACCGGCCATTCCTAGCTGCGAGGACCTAACCTCAGTCGTGCAGGGACCGTCAGATGACCAGGATGGTTCCTCATATTGCTGTAAGCTAGTCATGAAAATGACCTCTCACTTCTCCCCACCTGGCTTTTATTTTTTTATTATTATTTTTTTTAATGTTTTTTATTTATTTCTAGGAGAGAAAGAGAGAGAGAGAGACAGCGTGAGCAGGGGAGGGTCAGAGAGAGAGGGAGTCACAGACTGAAGCAGGCCCCAGGCTCCGAGCTGGCAGTCAGCACAGAGCCCGACGCGGGGCTCGAACCCACGAACCGCGAGATCATGACCTGAGCGAAAAGTCGGACGCTTAACCGACTAAGCCACCCAGGCGCCCCCCGACCTGGCTTTTAAAGTTAAAGGAGAATATAAAATTTGCTTCCTTCCACTTTTGTGCCATGTAAACCATTAATGAGCCTGGGAGGAAAAAGGGACCATCGTATCTCAGAGATGTAGAGAAAAGTATCACCAGATTACAACCTCTGTGACACGAAACTGGATATTTAAATCTACCGGTCAGCTCCTAAAACTTGGCAACTTCAGCTCATTTTAAAATTTAAATTACACATCATCTACTATTATGAGAAAGACTTACATTTCAAGTCAGGTTTATACCAGAATAGATTTTTCTGGAGCTCTTACTGCCTTCCGTATGAGAAGTAAAAGTCAGGAATTCAAGATTACACCCTCACACATGCCGCTCCGAGAATCTCAACAGAAAAATAACCCACAAGCAGAACCCTACTCATTATTTTAAAATGTTTCCTCTAGTTTAGCAATCAAGTGATTGGTCAAGTCAGCCAGGAAGAGAAAATGTCCTTGAACTCAAGATATCTCTGAATCCAATACCAGTTTACACTTACAGAAGGAAACTCACTGTAAAGTAAGTAAAACCTTTCGCATCCTTCTGGGGCCTTCGGGAATCAAACCTTGTTTTTGTAACATGGGCAGAAAGTATTAATATAAGTATTCACAGTGATGGGTTCAGGGCAGGCTGCCCTCAAAACTGCTACTGTGGCATATTGATTATTTTTGAATTAAAGTAACATAGGAAAGAGCCGGTGTGAACCAAGCACTGTCTGACCCTTTGTCCTGAAAGCGAAGATACATCTCCCTGTGAAAGGTACTCTCTCCTCTTAGTCGGAGAAGACCGCATAAAGAAATCTTGTTTCTTCTTTACTAATTCCCTACCCCAAGCCCAAACTTCTTTGTCTTGTCAATGCATCACAAATGTATTGTTTCTCTGTGTAAAAGGTATAAGAGCCACATGCTTTGCTCACTTCTTTGAGTCTTCTATTTCCATGAGCTCCCGTACATACTAATTAAATCTGTTTTTCTCCTGTGAATCTGTCTTAGGTCGTTTTAATCATGAGGCCAGCCGAGGGACCCAGAAGGGAAGAAAGGAAAAGCCCTCAGCCCCTAAGATAGCAGGGCTCTTGTATGGGAAGGCCCCCTACCCTTGCCTTTTGTCATGGTGACCAAGAAGAAACAGGGCAGGAGACGTTACAGAATAGGAATGGGTTAAGAATAGACCAGGTGGATTTCACAAAGAGAAGGGAGAAAACCAAACAGAAGATTCTGGAAGGAAAAGGAAGGCTGAGGAGAAAACCAGTGAGGGTGGCCTGCGGGCCGGGTTGATGAAGGGGGCTGATGAAGGGGGCTCTGGGCCTGGGCGGGGAAGCGGAGGGGGGTGTATGGGGAGCCATCAGGGGTGCCTTGAAAGGAACTACATGGGAGATCTGTGTCTAAACCGAATTCTAAGCATGTTCTGCTGTGCTTAGCACTGATTCTACTTCTGTCCCCCTCTTGAAAGATCTGATAAAGAAATGTCCTTTCATCTGCCAGTCGCTGTCTTTACGACAGGTACGGCCCGCACTGCTCCAGGGGGGCCCCGGGCTACATGTCACTTGCTCAAATGGTGCATTTTACATGCTGTGCATTTCAGGATCGCCCTAGAAGCTCCCACGTAGGAAGCTAAATGTCTTTGTTTTTCCGCAAAACACCACAATGAGGCCACATTAAGTCGCCTTTCTGAACTCTTCCTTACTGAGCCCACTAATAAATAGCTCTTCGCTCTCCAACTAATTGCCAACATGACTAATGAGCCAGAGGCGTCATCACGACTTAGAAAACCGTATTGCGGATATTGCCTTATTCTCTGGATTTTTATATTTATTGCTTCAAAATAGACGCATTGGTCCTTAATACATCATTATGGTTTTACCACTTTCCCCACGTGCTCTCTCCAGAACTGCAAATTCCTGGAGCGGGGCCAGACCCTGTACCTATCCCGGGTCCCATGCCTGCACTGTATTTACAGTAGACCCTCAATTAATAACAGTCGGGCAAAATTACAGAGAAAATTGCAGACAGAGAAAGGCAGGCTTTAACAAGTTTCCCTTAAAATGTTGTCTCAATATTCTCATTTTCAAATTTAGAAGAAAACAGTCTTCAAAGTAATTCACCCCCAAAGTGATGAAACTATTTAAGCTTTTTTTTTTCTTTTAAGTTTATTTATTTCAGAGCGAGAGAGAGCGTGTGTGCACACGCATGAACAGGGACAGGGCAGAAAGAGAGTCCTAGGCAGGCTCCCCGCCATCAGCCCTCCGGGGGCCTTGAACTCACAAACCCTGAGATCATGACCTGAGCCGTAACCAACTGAGCCACCCAGGTGCCCCATTAAGTTTCTTTAGTTAAAAAAAAAAAATACAGTCTAGGGGCGTCTGGGTGGCTCAGTTGGTTAAGTATCCAACGTCAGCTCAGGCCATCATGATCTTACGGTTCACGGGTTCAAGCCCCACACCAGGCTCTGGGCTGACAGCTCGGAGTGTGGAGCCTGCTTCCGATTCTGTGTCTCCCTCTCCCACGTGTGCTCTCTCTCTCAAGAATAAAGAAACATTTGGGGTGCCTGGGTGACTTAGTCGGTTAAGCGTCCCACTTTCGCTTAGGTCATGATCTCGCGGTTCGTGGGTTCGGGCCCCGCGTCGGGCTCTGTGCTGACTGCCAGCTCAGAGCCTGGAGCCTCTTTCAGTCTGTGACTCCCTCTCTCTCTGACCCTCCCCTGCTCACGCTGTCTCTCTCTCTCTCTCCTAGAAATAAATAAAACATTAAAAAAAAAAGAATAAACAGTAAACAAAAAATTTTTTAAATATAATCTTTTCATATGTGCAGGTTTGCCTTAAAAATGAATAACAGTTAATAGATATTTCATATTTCCTTGCTACTTTATGCTTTCTACCTTTGGGTTTTGTTACACAAATTGAATGCTATTATTAATTAAATTTTTTTGCGATAATCAAAAGCACACCCATGAAGCCTGTTCAGGACCAACCCACTGCTGAGGCTAATGGTCATTTCGTGTGATGGAAACTTTCCATCAGAGCCACCAGTCTCACGGGGAGATGGTCCTCTGGGTCTGCAGGGCTGTGGCCGGAGGGTTCACTCTCACACAGCCATCGGATACTTACGGGTCTGGGTCTACATCAGGGTTTAAACCGTCACAGGGCCGATCCTGATCCCCAAACGCCCTCAAAAGCACGTGGACGAGCTCCTGGTCTTCGGTCCCACTGCTGCTCATCAGAACACAAAAGGAATAAGGTGCCCTTGTTAGTACTCCCGGCTCAGATCCACAGGACAGCTCCCTTGCTCGAGCTGATCCAGGCAAACAATTCTTAGATCAGAGATCTCAGCTGTTGCGACTGTATGGTAAAGCCAAACCAGGCCGAAGATTTTTCTCGAGGCGCCTAGGAACCTCAGTCAGTTGAGCATCCGACTTCGGCTCTGGTCATGATCTCACAGTACGTGAGTTCAAGCCCCACATTGGGCTCGCTGCCGTCACCCTGTCAGCACGGAGCACAGCTGTCACCTCTATCCCCCTCTCTCTGCCCCTCCCACACTTGCACTCACCCAAAAATATTCAAAAATTAAAAACTTTAGGATTTTCCTGAAAGCACAGTATTGCCCACACAGATATGCATTTTTATATATTTGCATTCACAGTGTATTCTCATCTTTTTATTGAATACTATGATATTGCCATCTTTGACAGTTTTGCATGGTTTCTAAACCTGAATTGTAAAGGTTGCATGATATTTCATCATATTAATATATTAAAATCTATGAAAACATTCTCAATGTTGCAGCTCTGGTTTGTTCTGAATATTTGTTCTATTAAATAGCCCTGCGACAAAACTCTGTATTTTCATTTTTTTGGTACGCGAGCTGCATGGAACAGCTCTTTCTTGGTGAGAAGTCCTCAGAAAAGAGTCCTGCGTATGTTTTAAGTGTACATTGAATTTTAGTATTTATTTAACAGGCACAAGCTTCAGAAGCCTGATAATAGTTCAGTGTTGATAGATAGATAGATAGAAAGAAAGAATAGATGACAGATGATAGATAGATAGATAGATAGATAGATAGATAGATAGAAAGATAGATAGATAGATAGATATGTGGTAGAGGCCCCTCCCTAAGGAACGAAAAAAAAACCATCAAGGCAACCTTGCTATTCGTGTACGTCACAACTTCCCTCAAGACCTTGTAACATGAGCCCACGTAATCAGACTGCACATTTGTGTGTTACCATATATGGGAGACAAGTAAAAAATATATTTAAAAAACTACGCCACATGGCATTCAGGGCTCAGTTCTTGGGGTATGAATCCTTATCTGTCTGTGCAAGAATCCTGCACAGATAAGAAAAATTAAATTAATAAAATTAAATAAATAAAATAAATTTTAAAAAATAGTTCAGCATTGATGAGAACCAAGGCCATCAATGCTGAATTTCCTTACTGAAGACACCATCAGCGATAAGACGCCCTCTTCCTCTAGCTTGACAGAGGTGTGGAAACAAAGTCTACGTTAAATTTTATACATCAATGGTAAGAGACACCTTGACTTGAGAATACAGGAAATAATCATGTAATGCTGTCTGAAGTGGGCTGATTGGGAACGGCCTTATTTAAATTAATTAAAACCCTGAATGACTGTATTTACAAATGAAAATGTATTACTTTGTAGAACGTATACCTTGTCATTTACAAAATGATGGGAACATTTATCCCCAGGATAAAGAAAAACGATGTATTATTAGCACAATAGATTAATTATATGAAAGAATGACCTCAAATCTCTTTGGAAAGAAGCAGCTCGTAAATTAACAAATGCACACAAAGATTTATTTTATAAAGAACTTAAAACGAAACCTCCTCTTTTTTCATGTTTTTTTTTCACTGTTTATTTATTTTTGAGAGAGAGCAAGCAAGCAGGAGAGGTGCAGAGAGACTGGGAGCAGAGGGTCTGAAGCAGGCCTCGCTGTTGACAGCAGAGAGCCCAGGGCAGGGCTCGAACCCGCCAACCGCCAGATCATGACTGGGGCAGAAGTCGGGCTCTCACTTGACTGAGCCACACAGGTGCCCCAACAGTAGCTTCTCCCAAGAAATGTAAGAACCTTCCATGTCATGCTCACATGGATACTTGTGATCCTTCGTTTATGGACCGTGGACTGCTGCTTCCCAATACCATCCGGAACTGTTACCAGGAATCAAACACAGGGAGGTCTGGGGCGGCCAGGCTCACTGCACCCCCACGTCCCATCACTACAATAAAAGCCCCAAACGAGAAGTAACCTCATCATTTCCACGGTGCAGACCTCTACCCAGATAGGAATTTGGCAAAGAGATTACAGATTTTCCTAATCCCCTCAGTGAGCCTCTAACGTAACCAATGTGATGTTTTCCGTGCTCCGCATTTACCAGAAGCTGCTCCTTCCCTGGGAGCCTTGAGCCCCCACACTCCTCAGACCTTACTGTCTTTGGACAAGTGCTACTTACTCGACACTCTCCCAGAAGCTGCACCAGGCCCTTCCCTGCCCCTTTCTGCTCCCCGCAGCCCAGTCCGATCCCCCCCGGACCCGCCCACCTCTCCCGGACCCGCCCACCTCTCCCGGACCCGCCCCTCTCCGCTCCCCCCGGACCCGCCCACCTCTCCCGGCCCCGCCCCACCACTCCCCGCCCCGCCCCTCTACGCTCCCCCCAGCCCAGTCCCATCCCCCCGGACCCGCCCACCACTCCCCGCCCCACCCCTCTCCGCTCCCCCCAGCCCAGTCCCATCCCC